AATTTGAAACAGTTCTTATCTTATCAGTGCATGTAACACCTTATCACAACATGAAATGTTACAAAAAAATTAACTTTAAGTATACTGATACAAATAGAATAATTCTCATATTTTTCTCTGGAGGCTGGGGTTTCAGATCTTTGTGAAAGTGAGATGAATTTAGTGTATTTAACCTTATCCTCAGTGAACACAAGTCCACTACTCTAAATGTTCACACAATCCATCAGAGTCTATCACATCTCAGCAGTTCCAGCTGAAAAAGACTCCGGGACTACAGAGATTGCTCAGTTTGAGATGGTGAGGAGGAGTTAAGAGTGGTGGTGTTACCCATACATTTAAGAACGATTTACTAGCAGCTTCTACCTGTGTGTTGGACTACAGCTAATACCAATGTGCCTGGCTATTCATACAGTAAGTACTAAATTTACATGCATTTTTATATGGCAGGTGCACCCATTGCCTTTTGTTCCATTAGGAAGCAGAAAAAAACAAAGAAGGCCATTTATTCTTTTTCTATTCAGACCAATGCTCTTTTTCCATTTTGGAAAAGAACAGAAGATTATGGTATTGAATCACAGAGGCTACACTCTACATGTGGACATTGTGAAATTTAATGAGACCATTAGAAGGCAATAGTTAAGGCTTGTTCACGCAGAAGAAAAAAATCCCTTTTAAACGAACCACGAACTATCACAGGGCATGTTAGCTTTCATTCACATTGTTTTTCCAATGACCCACGCATATTGAAATCTGAAGAGCGCTTGAAGCATAGCTAGTCAGAGAGTGTGCAAGTGTTCTGCTTTTAAGTAATGGAGTACACGTGACCATAAAAGTAGGCATTCAAATATTAAGATAACAAATTTTATGAAATTGGTACTATCAGTACGAACCTACCAATATGTTGTGTCTTAATCAGAATATGTTAACAGTGGCTTCTTAATAAGACTGTATATCACAAGAATTGAATGATATTTACTGGCTTAAAAATAAAAAGCATTGTCATCAGAAACAGTTACAAATGAACAACAAATGTATTTAGATCTGTAGGCTTTCATGCTCTGATGTGAAGAAGAAATATTTAGAAATATTTATAATATTTTTACAGTATTTTTTCAGGAAATATTTTGAGCTGATTTCCAACTAAAAGTAATTAAAGTAGAAGAGGAAAAACATGTGAAACCTGAGGTGTTGCTGTGCATTGTTTAAAGAACAATGTTATTGGTTATTCCAATACAGTATGTACATATATTATAGCTACACACAAAAAAAACAGAACTGCTGCTCATAGTTGTTGTAACTGCTTTCCAGCTTGCAACCTATGGAGAAGGAAAATTCAGACACTTCTTTGAAAACTATTTTTATTTCATTGAGAAATGTTAGTTTTTATACATTAGATCACAGTACAGTATATCAAATACTGTCGTATTTATGCTAAAACATACTGTAGATTGACTTAAGTTTTGCTAAAATGTAATAGATCGTGATAAATACCTCAATACTGGGAAGTTGTGTTGAGTTTTACTAAGTAATGTAAATTAATCTATTTAATCAGAAGCCATAACTTCATATATGAAATGAATTTGCTCTCAATCGGTTTTAAAAAGATCAGTAGCATTATACTGTTACATACTGTAACATATCACAGAAAAGGAAAATCGAGCTGCTCAATGTTACTGATGTAATTTTATTTATTATTATAAATATAAAGCTTACTCTGGTAGTATTTTCTAAGGAGGTCAGGAACACTTTACTGTACATACCTGATTTCTTATGAGAAAAACACTATAAGGACTATGAAGTGGGAATTTGTCTTTTGTGGAGTGAGGTGTCTCTGTGACTAGGACCCTAGCACTGAGGACCCTGTAATAATCCATACCTGCTTTATTCAAGCTCTGCATAGAGTAAAGGCCTCAAAGTGACTACTTAACAAGCAGGGGAAGAGAGTGGGAGAGAATCTAAAAAAACATACAGCGAAGAGAGCAAATACCCAAGCAGAGTAGAATTAAATGATTCACATGGCAGGCGTTTTTGTCCTGTATATCTGGAATAATGCCTATCTGGAGCCTTGGGGAAATTAAGGAGAAAAACATTTCAGAAGGACATTAAAAGTTTATTCCTCAGAGTTTTGCCCTGAATTAAGACCATATACTGTTGGAGATTTTGGTGGATTTTATCTTCTGTCCATTTCTGTTTAATAGATTTGGGTCATTCTTTTCAAAATCTTTTTTGAGTTTTTTTTTTAAAAACTAGTTCACTGTACACTTTATAAACATACAAAAACAGTTTTGAAGAAACAGGGATACAATGAATTGTTTTTATATGGAGTGGCCTATTTTAAAACTAGAGAAATATTGTTATTTTTTAGGATTAGAGATGTAACCTTCAAATTCACGTGTAAATCCATCCAATCAAAATCAGAAAGACTATTTCCATTTGACTAGCCCATTCCAGAAGCACAGATCTCAAGAAAGGATTACCGTACATTCTGGATGAGACACCAGTTAATTGCCAGTGTGCCTTGCACACACAAAGACAATTTAGAAACCCTGATTGATAACCAGCATGTCTTTGGAAGATGGGAAGAAATTGGAACTGAGAGGGTAGTGTAAATAAAAATGCTGTAAAATATAAGAAGTGTTACAAACAAGGGAAGATGTTTTAACCCATTTATTTTATGTTAGCTGCTGCTGTAGCTACATGAACTTGAAAGAAATCAATGATTTAAACTCTGGTAAGCTAGTTCTGGAAATTTGGATTTGGCTAATACCTGAAAATATGCCTATCTCTTCTAACCAATATTATTCAATTTACAACTTTCTTTGCTCATCCATGAAATATTTATTCTAATAACCATTTCCCTTCCCTAGACACTTCATTATTCTGTGTTCTTTTACGGTTGCCATATGTTACGTCCCAGTGTGTGTTCTGTGTGTTTTTTCTGTTATGTCCACACTGCTGACCCTTGATTGTTCTCCCTTCCCCATTGGCCAACCATCACACCACTGTTTCAATATGATGTCATCATCAATCAGTCCTCAGCCAATCAGAACTCATTTTATTCACTATATAACATGGAGGTTTTCAGGAAGAAAAGGCCTTTCGTTTGACTTCGGTCCTGTTTGGTTTTGGTTATCGCTTTGCTTCGCTTCTGGTTATTGCTTCGGCTTCATTTGTTGGTTTGTTTTGCTTTGTGTGTGTGGTTCGTATAGCTTCGGCTTTGTTGTTTTGTTGGTTTATGTTAGTTTCTTTGTACTTTCGTTTGTTTGTGTGTTAATCCTTGTTTTGTCATTACCTTGCCCCAGTGTTACATGTTCAACTTTTGTGTTCTTTTGTACCCTGCTCCTGTTGATTACTCTTGTTTTCCCTTGTTTGTATTCCTGGTTCACTTGTGTTTTTGTGTTAACTTTTGTATATAAGGTTAGTTTAGGTTCTTGGGGTACACTTTACACACTTAGTTGATTTTGTATTAGTACACTAGTTTAGTACGGGTGAGTGCCATTTGTCTTGTATGGTTTTAGGTAGTCAGTGCAGGTTAGCTAGGGTGTTGAAGACGCTGAAGACCGTGTGTTTCGGTTTTTCTTTTGTAGTCAGATTAGCTTTCCCTCACTGTCATAGCCAGCTCCATTTTGTTAGTTATTTTCTTTTCTTTGACACCACTCTAGTTCCTTACCCTTATCACGCTTCCTAGTCCCTCACCAAAACCCACCTGCTATCAAAAGAATTATCCTAAATGTTACACCCCTTTACCCCTAGACACTTGGGGTCGTAACACCATACCAAAAACTGTATTTTACCCCCCATTGCATTATTCCTATCTCCCTCTTGATTTTTCTAATATTCTCCTTCATTGTGCTTTTAATTTAGCTCACTTTGGTTTTTTTAACTGTGTACTGTTCTTTTTCATTTTATGAAGTAATGTTTTCCCAATATCGTTCTTTTTCATTTTATGAAGTAATGTTTTCCCAATATCATTCTTAATGGATTGTTTTTTAAATCACTGCTGTCTCTTTTGGTTTGCCAGTGCAGTAAGACTGAGGTCATGCAATTCTAGCCTTTGAGGGACTGGAGTCCTGCTGGTTTTCATTCCAACTTTGAACGATATAATTTACTTGAACTAATTATTTTAATAAGACATCATGTCACCTGTTGAAAGTAACTCTAAACCTGCAAGACTCGCACTGGAGGCCTAGAATTGCCCCCACTAAATATTGTATTTCTAATTGTAAATCTATGATGTTATCAATGAGAGAAATGTTTTGCTTCTTAACTTTATTAATGAAATACCATTTTAATGTGAAATTCGAATGCTTTCAACACACACCAGTGATATTTAATGTTCAACAGAATTTGTTCTGTTTCCTGCATTAAAGCAATGGTCCAAGAAAAATGTCTACTAACTGACATTTTTTTTTCATTTGTGTGAAAAATACCAAATATTTTAAATACCACAAAATACTAAGAAATACCACTTTACTCATAAAGTCTTAAAAGGTTACAAAACACATTGTGATGTGCTGTACTGTATATGCCAGGACCACCAAAGTATTTAGGGTAATTACACCATATAAAATTTGTATTAATTTATGTATGTTGGACATGAGAAAATAACAGTACAATATGTGCAGTAGAAATGTGACAGCAGCAACTCATCATTATTTTTCTCAGTTTAGTAGCATGTTATCAACACAATTAATTGGGATCAAAATGACTCCAGTAATGTCCTTCTTCCAAAGCAATTCAGCAAGATGAGTATCAGAATACCCAGATCATGCCACCTCATGCCTTATCATTCATCAGAACACATCAAACACACCGTTAGTGTTTTGTACATCCAGTTTTTAGTCCTGCCATGGGAATGTGCTGTTGATCATAGTAAGATTAGCAGACAATGGTGTTCCGCAGTGGTTCTGAGATAAATCTGTGGATATTCCAGTGATGTAATGGACATGTGCACATGCTGTTTGATAAAGTTGATTTTGCTTTCTCCCATATTTCTGCAGGGAGCTCCCAAGCCAATTGCTGTGGAGCCATGCTCAGGGAACAAAGCTGCTGTGCTGACAGTCTTCATGTGTCTCCCCAGGGGTTCATCTGGGGTCCCCCCTCCTGGCCAATCTGGTAAGAAAATCTGTCCATCCTGAGCTCTCTGACTTTAATTAACCTTCCAGAAAGACTTGCTATACTGTATCCTGAGAATTCATCTAAGTAAATAATACTCAGCCATGCTTAACTAACATTTTTTTTTTATTTGAAATACAGAAAAAAAAATATTGCAGTGTGGTGTGTATGCAGAAATGTTCAGACTTCAACTCTGCACTAAATGTTTAGCAGAAAGTCTTTAAGGAGTTTCCTGAGGTAACACAGCCTAGTGTGAATCCAGTCCAGAACATTTCCAGTTTTAGAAAAAGATTCTGTGCTGTTACCTGAAAAGAATAGTAAGATGTATGCAGTGCTAGAGAGTAGCAATCTCAGAGGTGCCCAGGCCAGCCGGAAGTCTTCAATTTGCACAGATCTGGGGAAAAGGTGTGACAGATGAAGTAAGTAATTTGTTCAATTAAACAGAGAAATGTAGAGAATCATTTGGATTGAAAACATGAACTTCCTGCAGCCTTGTAGGAGCAAAGGTGACCACACTATTGAATTAACAAATTGTTTAAAATTGATAACATGTGCATTAGGTCATTTTTAGGTCAAGTTGATTATTATGGGTGATATATTAAAACTACTGGGTAGTCACTGTTTAGAATTACAGCTACATCAACCGTCAGGAACCTTACTACTGTCTTAAGTTAAAGCTGCATACACCTGGTGTGTTAACTTAAAATAAGATGTTTTGGTTTATATTGATAGTGCATCATGCACAGTAACTCAGCCCACTGCCATCCATGTCTGAGAACTTTTTAAAACTGTCCTGTTGTGCCAAAGTCTTTTTGTATTGTCCTACCCCTTTCAGTGTTTCTCTGCTATTTTATATTGTTCTTTTGTATTTTATATTGTTCCACCATTTCAATGTTTTCCTTATTTAGAACAAAAATATATTTATATATAGTGATTTTTTTTTAATTCAGCTCTTTTATTAAATTAACCTAGCAATAAATCCTGATGGACCTGCCTTTTCTAGTAAAGAGCATTTTTGCTTTATGGACATGTAGAGAGGAATACCTGTTATTAATGATGAGCACCTACTAGTGAGCCAATTAGATTTGGTGAATGTGATATGCTGGCTTCTACAACACTTCATATTGGCAACCTTGAATTACCGTGACCAAGTCTTTGAAGATTCTGATCAATGTGAATTAAAGACATTAAATGACAAGGTTGGTTACTTCTAATGCAGACTTCTCATGCTGTATTAATCAAATTTTAATTAATCAAAGTTATTATTATAGTAGAAAAACTAGTTACTTTTCATAAGTCATCTTTAAATTCCTAATTTTATGTAGAAAATCTTTTCTTAATATTATGCTTTGCAGTTTGCATTTAGTGTGCCTTATTTCAATTCTTGTGTGGGTCAAAATACTTATGGGAATGTACTGCTTTTTTTTCTAATAGTGCGCATTTGTTTAATAGGATCGTCACCTTTAGCTAACCCACATGCTTTATTTAAAGCCTCGGTGTGGTCCCTCAATGTAAATTATAGCAGAAGGCGCTAACAGCAGTCTCAACACCTCCACATACACTAGGGAGATGTGAAACTTTTCAGAATAGAGGGTTTTGAGCCATTGCCTCTTGGATGACAACATCTTATATCCTGCATTTGTGCTAAAACTCCATTGATATCTTTCCAATTGAAGTCACTTCTTAACAGATACTGGACTCTGGTATTTTTGCCTGGTTTAAATATAACTGCCTGTTATTTGACACAGAATCCAGTTTTTTTTTCTCTTGGCATTTCAGTTTGGGGAATGGTGCACCATCTGCCTGGACATTTAAATAATTCTGCCCACTATTTTTTAAAAGCATTAAAAACAGCAGATGATGTAACTGTTTAGAATCAGCTTGTCAATATCCATCCATCCCTTTTCTAGCCACTTTATCTAATACAGGGTCACAGGGGAGCCAGAGCCTATCCTACAAACAGAAGTATCAAGCAACGGACGGAAGTATATCAATATAAACTCACCATTAAGATTTATTAGTGTTTTGCATAAATTCAATATTCGAAAAAGTACAAATGGGTAGTTTATTATATTACAAATATACTGTAATATCTTGTAACTTACATAGTGATAGAATATAATGGAATGTATATGCGGTATCAATAGAAACAGTGCAGAACAGTGTCTACACACAGTTTCAAAAGTAACACATTTCTTGGCTTAAGAGCTTGAAATCAAAACACATGAAATCAGAATATATTCTACCATTGTTTCCACATTGGAACACACATCTTCCAGGTGAAAAGTGCTCAAATATAAAGTAATTAAGGTATGTGTAAACAAAGGTAAAATAAATTCTGTCTGAATTTGTGTTGACTTCAGGTTGGTAATCCCCAAAATGTGTTATTTTGTAAATAGTGAGTAGTGTTTCTTTCTGTTTTATTATTTATAAATGTTTTTTAACAGTCTTCAAATCTTTAGTTTAAACATTTAATATTTGTGTGTCCCAGGAGTTCCTTTAGTTCAGCCTTCGTGGACAGCTTTTTGTGTTTTTGCCCTTATGAAAAACGTAGGATGCTAAGTAGTGTACCATTTTCAACACTTATTGTATGTATGGTGTTTGAGCATTTGTGGTGCCATTCAATACAGCATGTTCAGAAGAAAAACTAGACAGGTTATAAATAGAAGCTAATGTAGCTCTAGTTATACCAAGAAAGCTTTAATAAAACAAAACAGGTAATTTTGCTGGAAACATCATTTTCAAATGTGTAAAAAAAGCAGCTCTTAAAAGTGACTAGCTTCATCCATCCACTCTCTAACCTCTTTATCTAATAGGGGTTGCAGGAGAGCTGGGATGCCACTCCATCACAGGGTACACAAAGACACAGACATCCTACCAGTACTGTATATCCTTGATAATGTGGGAGGTAACTGGAGGACCCAGAGGAAATCCACACAAACATGGGGATAACATAGAAGCTCTACACAGATAACACTCCAGGTGTGGGATTGAACCCAGGACCCTAGCACTGTGAGACAGCAATGCTAACCACTTTGCCAATGTGACACTCACTTCGTATATAAATAGTAATCGAAAGGTAATGGAAGTAATTTAATTTATTCTGGGTCTATTTTTATTCCACCTCTGTCACATCAGAATTTGCTATTAACTTCATTGGACTATTTGTCTGTGTTTGCCTGTTTAGATAGTACACTGTTTAGATATGCTTTACTCATATAATCAACATTACTTTTATTAGAAAGTTTAGGACATATAAACACAGTAATAAAAATAATTAAGTGACTAAGAGAAGCAGGTTTGGAACACCTTCATCAGAGGGAGGGAGTTTTGAGTGCATGAATGAAAACACAAAGCAGATGGGATCTGTGCCAGTCCATGATCCGATGAGGGTTAAATCAAAAATGTGAACATTGATCTTCCATGTGGAAGTCATTTAATTGATCTGGGATTTCTCTTCTGGTCTGACACTCAGTCCACACACACAGCGGGATGTTAAATAGCAGAGAGGTTCAGATGGGGGTAATGACAGTCGTAACCAGACAGGGATTCCTTGGAGAAGCAATGGTAATACTGTAGGTCCCAAAAAGCCAATCCAGAGTCAGACAGAGACCAGCTGTGGACTGAGCTCACTGGGCAATATAACATAAATTACATAAATTGTGTGTAAGCATTTAATTTGAACACATAACTGAAGAATGTTTTTCACTGTCCATTGTGGGAACTCTCATTCCATGTAAAATTTTTGTCCTATGTTTTGGGAAATTGTAGGAGATTATTCATTTGCTTATTTTCTTAGCAGACACTCTTATTCATGGCAAAATACAATACAGAGAATTGTATTAGATGTAAGTATAAGTACAAATGTGCAGGTACAACATGTAGGTATGTATTCTATATCTACAGTGAAAAGAGCAATTTGGAAGCTCCCAATCTGAGAATCCAAAACATAAGTCCAATACAGTGTAAAATCATTGGTACAGTGTTATTTGTAAGAGTTGAGAGATGAGAGACCACAGGTATTGTCTTAAGTAGAAGTCTTGAGCAGGCACTGAAGGGTGCTCAGGGACTGAGCTGTTGTGATTGTGTGTGCATCTATTTTCACCACTAAGGTGTGAGGGAGGAGAATGGATGAACTCTGTATGTGGGGAGAATGGAGTCTGGTGGAAGAGGACAATGAATTGTAGAGAAATAAACTGAAGACAGGCTGGAGAAGAGTGGTTGAGGCAAATTAGGGTTTTGAACTGGATGTTTGTCCAGATAAGAAGGCAATGGAGTGATTGGCAGTAATGGAGTAGCAGTGTGTAGAGATTTTGGCCTATAAGCAGTCATGAAAGTCAAAATGTACAAGAGTACATTTTGTGTGCAGTGGTAAAGAAACATTAGAATCTGTGTATTCGGTAATGTTGCTCAAGACAGACAGCAGGACGCTGCTAGTCAAAGAATGATTTTTAAGTATGACAGGGAATTTACAAGTGACACTGAGGTTCTTGGCAGAGGAGTAAAAAAAGGACAGGTTTACAAAGGGGAGAGAAAAGGAAAAATTTTAGCTTTTGAAAGGATAATTTTAAGATGAAAGGTGAATATCCAGGACGATACTGGGGAGATATACGCTTTTCCAGCTGCAGGAATAGAGGGAAGATCTCCTTGATATAGGGAAGGAGAGCATGGGAAGCAGCCTGGAATAGGTAAGGGTGTAAAGAGCTCCCATTATGGGAAGCAGGAGAAGATGGGAGGAATAGGTTGGGGGTGTTTGGTGGCTGAGGAGATGAAGTGTTGGACAGCTTGCAAACATTGGAGATTTTGGAGACAATAAAGGAGATAGTCAAAAGAGAAAAGGGAAGGAGTTTCGGGCTGAGAACAAAAGAGAAAGTGAAGATCTTCAGAGGACTGTTTGCAGAAGACTTGAAAATTAGAATGGCTAACAGAGACAAGAGAATAACCACAATAGAGATCCAAGGCAGTGGGCAGCTTAGATCTCCTCTGTTTCTTTCTAGTTG